GCCTGCTGGGAGGATTTCAGCTCCATGCGGAGCTGAAACTGTCCAGCAGGCAGCCCTTTCGCTCTTAAAGAGCTGCCTGCCAGGAGGGAGCTGAAGTCCTTCAGCAGACAACTCTTTTGCTCTGTCCGCTTAACAACCTGGGAGATCACTTAACGACCGCAACCAGGAGTGCTCAGATTGTGGTTGTTGAGTAAAGCAGTCACGTGGGCATCTCACTTAATGACCACTTTCCTCACCGATTGAGATTATGGTCCCAATTGTGGTTGTTAGGCAAGGACTACCTGTATTAGTTCGATTGAGATTATGGTCCCAATTGTGGTTGTTAGGCAAGGACTACCTGTATTAGTTCGGTGAGCCAAATGTGCTTCAGAGTCTCTACAAAATTATTTCTAGCCTCAGTTGTAATACCTTCTGAATGTCATGCGTTTACAGAAAATGATGCTAGTTTCGTAATGTAGTGATAAAATCATTAGCCTAATGTTAATGTTTAAAAGATTATTTAAGATTAATGTATAGTTAAGAAAGGCTTGGATAGGCTAAGGGAAGACTACAAGTTGAATTTCAAGTTAAATTAAGACGACAGCAAAATATCATGATAGTAGGCTTCCTGAAGTTCTCAACTTTCATTATGAATGAATGTGGATGTGCTATGGATGTGCTTGAAAAAATGTAAGCATTATTAACCCAGCTTTTGTTTTCATATTTCCTGTAGTTAATTGCTTTTATACATTACAAAATGGAACACTGGGTCTGTCAGACTACACGATATGCAAATTGTTTATAGTAAAATGCCATAGAATTGTGCCAACCTAGTTGAGTGACTCAGTCTCTAAGAAGTTGAAATAGTACTGGTAATGGGTGTCAGTTTATGCAGTAATCAGTTTGGCAACGGGGATACATTTATAGTTTTACAATGCTTTTTGCTTCATCTTCTGAATCACAGTTTACAGAAATATTGTGGAACTAATGCTGACGCTATAAGTGTTAATGTAATAATTTCCTTATTTTAGAGTATTCTTGAACTGGGCCCTAAGTACCTGAAAGTGTATACCAAAAATATTCCTTCATGGGTAAGGTTTCCTCTTTTATTACATGAATATTATCAGATATTTTGATCAGTAATATAATTTTTAAACTTCATAAATATTAATAGTGTTATATTGGATGTTTCAAAGAAATTTTATTATGTAATCTGCCCTTTTTATTGTTCTACCTGTTTTAATAGCTGTAATTTGATTATGTTTCTTGTTACTTTTCTAGGATTTGTTTATCATCCCCACTTCTGCTTGTTTCAACTGTGTTTTACATCATTCTTCTGATACTTACAAGATTATTTTAGTACAGCCACTCCTAGTTTAGCGATTACCTTGGTTAACGACCATTTGCAAATACGACAGTAATAAACTAATAAAAAAATTCATTTTCTGACCAATGCATGCATTTATGACCATATTTTGTGCCCCTGACAACAAAAGCCTTCAGTGTGAAACTGATTTATGTCTGGTCAGTTTCAGGCAGCAGTGGCTGGAGGGTTCTAATCAACTAATTAAGGTCACAGAGCTGAACTTGTTAACTTGCTCTTAGCACTTTTTAGAGATGCCCTGTGCTGAGGAGAAAAGCAGCTCAGAAAGAGATAGCTTGTTTAAGCAATCTCTCCGCTCTGTGAGGGGGCAAAAAAAGGGAAAAAGAGTCAGGCACAGAACACTGAACAAGCAAATTTTATCTGAATGAGACAGCAGCAACCTGTGATCTTTGCAGCGTCTGTCTGTCTGTCTCTCTCTCTCAGTCATACGTTCACTTAGTGACCATTTCACTTAACAACCAAGTTGTTGGAACAGAATGCAGTCACTAAAGAAGGAGAGGGTGTATATTCTGAGGTCAGTAGGCTACTCATCAATGTAATAGATTTTACAAAGCATGATATTATAAGCACAGGCAGAGCAAAATATCTGGCTTGCATGCTGCTTTTCCTTCTACCCAAATACTCAACAGACTTCCTATTTGTGGATAAAGTACAGGTTGCTATTGCATCTCATTGCAGCAAAGGCCTCAAGTTATTATTAGCTCTTAAATCAGGGTAAAATCATGACTTGCAATTAGATTTAAGAATGAAAGAATGGCTGAGAAAATAATTTGGAGCATTCAGATAAGCTTAAGTGAAAATCTTTATTCAGTTCCTTGTAGCACATCCTGAATGAAAGTTTCCTGTTGTATTTAAATTTAGAATATGGTTCAGAACAAACAATCATGTAAAATTAAAGTGGCTGTTCTGTAACAGTTACAGTTGTACTTATGTCGGACTCTTTCCAATATATACTTTCACTAATACTGGTCAATTTTTTAAAAAAGTATTTCTTTTGTACTTTAGACAGTTGTGACTGAATATTTTCTGCAGAAAAAAATGAAAAAAATTGTTGGATAAAAAAAAATCAAATAAAGATGCTGGATTTATTGCTGTAGCTGAATCAAATTTTGCCCCTCCCATTCTTAGGGCTTGGTTTTCTAGCCTCTTGCAGTTTGGGAGCAGAATAAATGTACTTATTGTAAGCATAGTTTATGGAAATTGCAGTCAAATGTAACTGATCCAATTTGGAGAAAGTTGCCCCTGTTCCATCTGTTCCTATCCTATAGGCTTTGGAAGGATTATCTTGCCTCTTTGGGACAATTACCTTGAAATTCTTGATGAGTCTAATATTTGGAATATCTGATGATGTAAGTTAAAATTTTGTTGTTTTATGTTTACTATCAGAATAATGATTCTTTGTATATTGTATATATTCTCTTCTGGTGATATGTATAATGTTAAAATTTCATATTGGATGCCATAATTTTATTTGAAGTCGTAAAGATATACTTGAGAATTATGCCCATGAATAGAGTATTGTAATATACTTTAAAGAGTAAATTGATAGTAAGTTTAGATCTATTAGTTACTCATCATCCTTGAACAACTTTATCTTCTACTGGGTGTGTCACACCTGAAGAAAATTATGGTACACAGCAGTCATTATGTGGTAGTAGGTAATCTGACAGCTTATAGATGTTTTAAACTAGGGTGCATCAGGTATAGTCTCCCAGTGGTACAGCTGAGGCTGCCAGAGTGCTTCCTCTGAACTTTGAAGCAAGCAGCAAGTAATATATGCCTTGATCCTTGGAATGAAAAGCTCTAAGCCTCTGTTTATCACTGATACCCAGAAGCTACTGAAATTCTTGCAGGGGTGTTCTGGCCCTTCTTCCTTCTATCTTTGTATCCTGGTGGAGATGCTGGGGATTATGTAGGCTGCACACTGTTCTCAGTGAATTGCAGAAATGTCTAGTTAATAAAAATAAAGAGTAGGAGATATTTATATTGAATGATACTATGGTGGGAATAATTAATCAAAAGCTGTTTAATAAATAATTAGAATAGGAGGCATAGTAGAAGTCTAAATTACAAAATAAAAGGAAAAAACAATACATTGTTTTATTTGTTATGACAGTAAATGTGAGTGATTACTAGAAGTATTTTAACCATCATTAAATTATTTATTTATTTAGCAGCATTTCTAGACCATTCAAATCCTGAATTGTCTGGGTGACCAAAAATCAAATTCAAAATAACAGTGTAATTAGTACAATAAAACAATAAATCATAAAAATCATAAAATCTGTTTTGCCCTCCAATCAGCTGAAGCCAAAGTCTTGCTGGAAAAAGATACTTCCAGGGGGAGAAGATTCCCTCAAGTGGAGGCTGCTATTGAGAAGACTTGCTGGCTTGCTGACACCCATGTACCTCACAAACGGCAGGGATTCTTAGCAGGCCATCTCTAGGAGACCAGACTGGGTGGGCAGATTGTATTCTGGTAAAATACTGTCTCACATAACCCAGTGCAATGCTGTATAGGGCTTTAAAGGTAACAGTACTTGAATATGCATGGAAGCCTACTGGTAATCAATGCACAGATTTTAAAATAGGTTTATTCTATAGACTGGCAGAGTTGTCCCACTAGCAATCTTGCCACAATATTTTGTATTAGCTGTAGCTTCCAGGTCATCTCCAAAGGCAAATAGTGATCTAGGCATGAGTTTCTGTTGCATGGAAAGGGGACATAAATAATGAGGAAGTAAATGCAATGAAGCATGCATGCCTTCCACTTTCCTGATCCTTTTTTTGAGTTCTGCCCACTTCTTGCAGTATATCATGATACGATGAACAAAACTGAATGTGGCTATCAGCCATTAATGGTTACTCCCCCATTTTACGCTAGAACTCCCATACATAGTCTTAGCAGTACTTGCTGTCCTTTGTCTGAAACAGAGGTGGTGAATTGGTGACCTTCTGGATGTTGTTGAATTACTACTACTGAAAATCACCAAGCAGCATGGCCAATGATGAAGGTGGCTGTTAGGATTTGTTTTGTTTTAATTTTCAAACTCTTTAGGCTAGTAACACTACTCAGAAGAGTATTTATCTCTTTTATATAATGTAACTTAATTTTAAAAACCCTTGAGGTAATTTATCTAACAAACATTTCACTGTCATTTTTCAATTAGGCTCATATAAGTAATCTGTTAAAAGCAAAACTTACCGGTTATAGAGATTTTGATACATCAATGTACACTTGTGCTGTGGAGTTTGATTTCATGGAAAAAGAGGTAAGTAACACATATTCATTCATTCATTCATTCATTCATTCATTCATTCATTCATTCATTCAATACATTTCTATCCTTTTGCAATCAAAAAGACTTTTGGCAGCTAACATAGAAATCCATTGATAGTTAAAATAGCTCTTTAAAACTTAAATAATTTTGATCTGTCTTTTCTCTACTTTGCCAACTCACCTGCATCCAAAAAGACGTTTTGGCTAGATTGAGGGTGCGTGTGTATTTGTGTGTATGCAAAAGCGGAGGCGCTTGTAAAAGTCCTGTTTAGGCACTATCCCGAGTAATTATCTTAGCACATGAATGAAAAAGTGTTCATTTCCCACACCCGTGGAAGAGATATGCATTAAGGCTAAAGTTAAGAGAATGCTGTTCAATTTCTCTGCTTACTACTTTCTTGATGACTAGCTAAAGCTTGTTTAGGTTCTTGCATCATTGTTTTTGCAGCTAGACAGAACCATTATGATTGGCCATATAGTCCAGAGCCCTCCTGTTCTGTAGCATAATAGCTTTCTTACAGCAAAAATATGTACACTTGGAGGAATATTAAGCAAAATCACTTATTTGAAAATGAATTAAATTTTGAGCACCATTATTTCAGAACAAGTCTCACTGAACATAATGGAAACATATTTATTTGTTACAGTCCAAAGACTTTCCAGTCCAAACCAAAACAGTTGCTCCATGAGATGAATTGAAGAATCTGTACTGTTGACTTGATAGGCATAAATATGAATTATTTCTGAATGGGAAGTGATCACTTAACTGTACAAGATAATCCATATGAACTCAGTGGAGGACCCTATGTAGACAGAGGATTCTAAAGCCTATGATGAGTTCATATGATGACTTTCAAGAATGATTTTCTTAATGCAAAAAATTATAAATTCAACTTAAGTTTCATTTTAAACCAAGGAATTTTATAAAATAAATTTACACATGAGCCTAGGTGAGACAGAGGATTTAAGTGGAAGGTGGAGAGATGTATAGATGTGACAGTTGAAAATGCCAGACAAAATAAAGTATTGGCTTATTGGGAGTAATAAGCGTAGTAATAAAATACTATTTTCTAAAAATGAAACTTTTTTTTTACAGTTTTATCATCAAGTTTCTATACATAAAACTTAATTTAATTTCAGACTCCAGTAAGATATATGAAGACATTCTTGCTTCCGGTAGTTCTTATTGTTTTTTCAGTAATTGTTGTAAAGGTAAGTCACTGCTATTTTTTACTGTTTTACTTTTAGCATGTGTGTCATATCTTAAAACAAGACAGGTCTTGGGACTCAAATTCAAGGTCCAATTTTCAGCTGCCCAGTTTTGGTGGTGCAATTCCAGGGATCTTACCAGCCACAGAAAATGGGTTGAGAGGCTGTATGTAACCTGTGTATTGGCAGCTCGTGTTATTCATGAATGCAAATGAACAGCACCATCTTGAAAACATTGAGTAGCATCCACTGTTATGCAGAAAAACACCACGATGGGTCTTTGCATCTTCTCCTGCTCTGAATAGCCTCCCTGAAGTATTATACAGAGGTTTATAGAACTACAGGTAGTCCTCATTTAGTGACTGCAGTTTGTTCTGGGAAAATGGTCGCTAACTGAACCATGTGGCAGTGAGAGAGATGCTGTGAAGATCACTTGTTGCTGTCCTCTCGTTCAGATAAAGTTCTCTTGTACAGTGTTCTGTGCCTGACCTGTTTCTTTCCCTTTTTTTGCCCCCTTGCAGCTATCTCTTCCTGAGTTGCTTTTCTCTGCACTGCAGCATTTTCCTAAACAGTTCTAACTGCAAGTTAACAAGCTGAGCTCTGTGACCTAATTAATTGATTAGAACCCTCCAGCTGGCAGTTGCTGCCTGAAACTGACCAGACCTTAATCAGTTTCACACTGATGGCTTTTGTTGTGGTAAATGCTGGCATTGGTCAGAAAATGAATTTTTTATTACTGTTTATTACTGTTGTATTTGCAAATGGTCACTAAATGAAGACTACTTGTACAGAGGTTTACAAAATGTGTGAAATGAAGGAATTGTTTGAAATCATATATCTTGTGCAAAATGCTTTTACTAATTTTAGATGTTTCTCCCCTCCCCCCCAATTACTACTGAAATCAAGAAGGTCACATTTCATACTTTTTGTCTGATGCTCTAGAGAAGCTTTTCAGGGGATATAAAGAGATGCAGCAAGGGAGAAGAAGGGAAGAAAAAAATTACTTGCACACGTTTGCCTTCCACTCATATCTCACTGTATGTCTAATTGATTTATTTAGCCTTTGTGCAGTAACTATTGACAAAACAGATCCTTGTCCATTCAGATATGAATGACCAAGTTAAGGTCTAAGGTAATTAACAGTGCATGTCTACATGACTAACCAGCAGTATGTATCTATGCAGATGTAAAACATACATGATGCTTAGTGCAAAAGGTGTTAACATGTTTACTTTTTAATCAATGTTTCATAGGCATTTCAACACGTTATGCTTAAAAAGAAATCCTCAGAAAGGTAAATATATTTTAAGTGAAGATCTAAGCAGTGGATTATTATCAGTAATGTTGTGTATCTATATAAAGGTATAAAGTACTCTTCGACCTTTAACGTCAATTTGTCATTTCCTCTAGAAATCAACCACAGAGGGACTGATTTCTCTTTTTAATGTTACCAGATCTTGCACACAGTAAAATGGACTTCATTTCTTGGCTCTTGGCTTATAAGACCATTCTTGACAACAGAAAAATATCATGCAGGCATGAAATTACCTATTCTGAAAACTGGTTTGGATGTTCTTGTATTACAGAAGGACTTGAAAGCTTATTGTTGTATAGAACAGTAGGAAAAATTATAGAATTATATTCTGAGGTTTGTGAAAAGCAATTGTTTAATGAAATATAAATACTCTGCTTTGTATTATGTCATACAAAGCTAGAGCATTATTGTTAATAATATACTATACAGATACAGCTAGGGCATTATATATTCAGTATGCAACATTTAAATCTTCCATAGTCTCTCATGATGTGATATAGGTAGTTGATTACTGTTTTCATTTTTTAAAATGTATTTATGGCCAAAAGACCCAAATAGCAAAGTACAGATATAATCGAAAATTTGGCATTAGGTAAAATAGTTTAACAAATAAAATAAATGGATAAATATTACAGAAAGCATTTAAAATTCAAATTTATTTATGTGTTACTAATTTGATGTGTTTTTATAGCCATTGTTAAAATTTTGGCTGTTGTTGCTGTAATTTATCAGATTTTTGTCTGAAATTTTAACATATTCAGAAATATCTCCTCCTTTTGAATATACCACAGTCACTTCTGAGATGTATTTTTTTTATCTGCTTTGTATTAGCTTTTTTAATGTAACCTTGATGGCACAGATGCTATGAAAAAACTCAGTCATTCATCAGAAACCATTCTTACTGCTTTTGTGTACAGGTTGTCCTCCCTTAACGACTGTTCGTTTAACAACGGTTTGGAGTTACGATGGCCTTGGAAAGGGTGTTTTACGACCCGCAAAGCACTTCCAGCCATTGTAAAATGTCGTGCTGCCCCCCCGTCACATGGCCGCATTTTGGGTGTTTGGCAACCAGCTCACATATACGACCAGTTGCCAAGCACCCTGCAGTCATGTGATCGCCATTTACAATCTTCTCTTCTAGCTTCCCCAGAAAGTCAACGCAGGGAAGGTTGCAAGTGGAGGGGACAGAGGGAAGTCTCTCGGTGGTGTGTAGGAACAGAGCTCAAATCCTGAAGATTTGAGCTCTGTTCCTGCACACTGCTGAGAGAAAGGAGGGGAAAGAGGATGAAGTGGAAGAGCTGTCTGCTGAACGATTTTGCTCCATCTGTTTAACAACTCGGGACTGTCCAGATTGCGGTCGTTGAGTGAAGCAGTCATGTAGACGTCTTGCTTAACGACCACTTTGCTCAATAATAGAGGTTCCGGTCCCAATTATGGTCATTAGGTGAGGATTACCTGTACAGAGGAACAATCTTTTATGTTTAAACTGTGTAAATGAATCGGACATTACAGCAGCAGTAAAATAAGATAGCTGTTTGGCATAAAATTTGTCATTTTTAAAAAATCTATACTGCTATCAAGTGATGTATACATTTTATTTCAAGGATGGAAAATATGGTAAAGTCAGCATCTTAAAAAGATTTCTTAACATCCAGATTATATGCATCTCTGTTTAAGTTGATCTTTTTAGAAAAATGAGAGAAAAATAACACTTATGCTGATTTAAAGAATGAGAAATAGAAGTATGCTTACATTATATACTTGAAATTTAACCTGAGACACTATTGCTATTTTCTTGATAAAATGTTCAACTGTATCTCTCCAAATGCATTTTACAAAAATTTTTTGATTTTCTTAACATTAGTGCTTGATTAGTTGTTGTATGACTAATTAGAAAAGCAAAATTCTATTTTGAGTAACAGCATACCATTCATACCACTCTATTTCAGCATTAATTTGAATAAAGATAGTTTGTTTGATTCCAATGAATGTTTATCCTAAATAAAATTATTGGTATCATTTTCCAAAGAATTGTTTAATTGTTCCTCTTAAAGTTCATGTTTACTACCAATATTGGGTTCCAAATTGATTGTATATATACAATCCAAATTGGTGTGTATATGAGGTTTTTTTCACTAACTTTTGTTTCGTATTGATCATTCCTGATCATTATTAACAGTAAGATAAAAATGCTTGTGCCTTGTACATGTAAGTGATTATAATTACAATGAATACAGCTTCTGCAAGTGAAAACTTCACTTCAGAAACATACAAAAAGTACACATTTTATGGAGTACTTTTAATAGAGCTCCTGCAAATGGCAGTCATTTTAACCTTTCTTAAAAAAGAAATATAG